CTAAGTTTATTGGCAATTAGCCATTTTCTAAGATTTTCTAAATCAGAATTCACTGCAGCCTCAAGATCAGTAATAGAGTCTCCAGAAGCTGTCAGGTTCGTATCGTCAGCAAACAGCCGAGGTTTTGTTTTATATAGACATTGAGGCAAATCATTAATATATAGTAGGAAAAATAGTGGCCCTAAAATAGAGCCTTGTGGTACTCCACATTTGATCAGTTTCTCTATATAGAACTTAGACTAGAAAATAGAATTACTATACCTTGGAAAAAAATAGAATTGCTATACCAGCTTAGAAGAAAATAGTATTAAATGCTTCACCAACAAACCTTTTTTGGCTTGATCCATGACGATCATGAGTTAAGACTGATTTCCATTGTTGCGTTTTTCATACGTACGTATACGCACGTAAAACTTTAAATCCGTTTAAATGTTACTTATGGAATAACCAAATAAATAAAGCAAAAGAATTTAGTGTTCCGCAAGTTTTAGTATGCAGTTGTTAACCAATTTGTAAAATATTTAAAAAATAGAAGATTCAAAGTTTTACGTGCGTGTACCGTGTACGTGCGTACGAAAAACGCAACAGTGGAAATCAGCCTTTAAACTGGGAACGTATTACGTACATCATACATGCATATATTCAGCTTATTAGAGAGTTTGGCAAATACAAGGGCAACGGCAACGGCAACATGGTCATCAATAGGATTAATCCTCAAAGACAAAGGCGAATGTAAATTACATGGTCTTAAGCGTTTTGCATTGAGTAGAACTGATTTTACTCACTGGCGAAGCAAAACACATTATGTGTGTAGACGAACTATACTATCATAACATAACTTTATTTTTTTGCTCATGCAGTCTTTGAAATTTACGTAAATATATACCTTATCAGTCTTGTAATTATATAAGATATCGGACCATGTATATCGGTTGTGCGTTGCCGTTGTTTAAGAAGAACTATAGCTGTAAGAACTATCGACAAATGTTAACTATTTGATAAATAATTTTTCAACGTGGCCGTCTGAAATTCAGGCTAAATTCGAATTACATACCTGGCTTTTGAGTTTTGATTTGCTATAGTCTGCACGTCTTCGCCTAAAACTGTGATACGGAAAGTTAAATTACACAGAAAGCCAATTCATCGTATTTTAGTCTCTTCCGTTAAAAATGACGTAGTATCGTGTACGTCCCAAGCAAACTCTTTCACTTTCGTTTATAGGTGATGTAAAGCATATAGTTGGTGGTTTGGAAACTCGTTAGCATACAATAAAATGACATTAAACCTCATTATCTATGTTGTTCAGGTTTATGCAAAAATGTGGTCTTTCATCGTCACGTGCGTATTATATTTTTCTCAAGTCAACCAATAGGAATGTTCAAAATGTCCTGTTGTTAAAGTCATGGATGGGCAATTGGACAAAACCGTTGCTATATTGGCTGGTTGAGCAAAAATACAATACGCACGTGACGATGAAGACCACATTTTTGCATCAACCTGAACAAAAACATAGATAGTGAGGTTTATTGTAATGCTAATGAGTTTCCAAACCATCTCCTCTATTAACTATGTGTAAAGCCAATAGTCTCGACTGCGTATTCAAATGATGCGTTCTGCTTGGCCTTGGGGCTAAATTGCAGTTGAAGTAGTATAACATTATACTTATAACTAAGACTGGAAGAATTAGAGTATACACATGAACACATTCAACTGTTCAATGACCTTTATATATGTTATCATGATGTCATGTTAGATGACGGTAGACATTTGCATTTCAAACAAGGACAATCCTTTGTCAAATTCATCCAAAATGGCGGCCATGACTTATAGGTGAGAACATTCCCGCATATCATAATTCTTGTTACGACTCCAGTTAGCCTGCGCGCAACTTATTGAAGAATTCTGGCGCTGGCTAAGACAGAGCAAACAATTTTTTTCAGAATTGTCTGTTCGTATATAAAGAATAACATTTATTATATTATAATATCAGATTTTGTGATAGATATATCCAAGAATTTCTCTGTCAATTCTCAGCCAAGTGTACAAATGCTGTGAATGGGAGAACTAAGAATTAGTGGATTACAGGATTCTGCAGGATCTTAATAAAGTTGCGTTTGTTGGGGATCAGGATAACTTGAGTTGTTTTGGCGGCGCAGTGTATATACTGTAGTCTGCTTGAATGCAAACACAAGTAGAACTGTATATGCAAATATTGCGTAAAAGTGATTGACGCGTTCTGAACTGAAGTTCGCACTTCGCAATGCACTTGTTGATTCATTGAAGACGCTTGGCTTGCTGCAAATACTATCGTCGGACCAAAGTAACTTGAGTCTGTATAGACTATAGTCAATTGAAAACTTGAGCCTTTACATTCAATTGGACGTTGTGTGAATCAGCCTGAATGGTGTGAATGTAATATTTTCGGGAAATTCAAATTACGTACCTTTGAATTTGGCTCCTGATTCTTCCTGAAGCTGTTGAGCAACCTAGTCTTCGCGTCTTCGCTTCAAACTGTGAACTAAGAAGTTACAGTACCAAGAAAGCCAATTCATCGCTTTTTAGTGTCTTCCGGAAGTATATATATAGCCTTGATGTTTCCCAAGAAAGACAAAGAGTTTCAAATAGCCGGAAAAAGTCCTTTAAAAAAAGTACAATGAAAACACTGTCTTAATATCCAGCCAACAAGGTTGTCAATCGTCTACACAAGAAAGATTAGAAGGGCTATAGTCAGTATTTATATATGTCTGTGAGAGAACGGCCTCTGAAATATACGCAGGATCATGTATATAAGCGTGCGGAACTGATCTTTTCCAGGGGGGAAAGGTCACTCAGGTATGAAAGATTACGAAATAATATAAGCTGCATTTAATTACTTTCTGATAAATTTGCCCAAATCTTCGTTCTTGGTTTTTCCAAGAATTTGCCCCAATTCCCGGCCTGTCTCTCACGCGCATATGTATATAATTTTATGTTTCTTTAATACATTAAAACTGACCACCAATATATAATGCGAAGAGGCCGAGCATTAACCACAAGTTCTTGCATTGTATATATACCAAAGTGATATCGGAGTAAAGGTATACGGGGGAGAATTATACAAGATTTTGAGCATCTCGCTGGCTCGCTCTTGCGTAAGGTTTCTGGCGGCATTTAACAGCAGCCGACGCCCTTCAGAAATACTAGAAATAATACACTTTGGCTAGTATCAGCACATTGAGTTGCAATTAATCAGATGAATAAAGAGGATCGCCCAGGTCCCCAGGAGGGGCCTATGTTCTTGTGTTCCATTGGAAATCTTTTCTTTGTTCTCTAATTGTTCCCCACAAAGATTTCACCATAGTCATAGAACACTTTCATATACAATACAGACGGGCTTAAATGTTTTTATGCGCATCTTAAGAGCTGTTTATACATGAACCCGGTTTGCCAGGAGGAAATGAAAAGCGAGATGATTTTGAAGTATTGAAATAAATCACTAGGCTTAAACGAGAGTTCAAACGCCGGTAAAAAGGACTCAAATGTTGTCGAGAAGATCTCGTAGTTCAAGATTATTAGGGAGCTTTTCACAACACGGACGTCAGATTGCCGAGGGGGCTGGATTAAAGACTGTGTTTGTCAGTTTGTGGTATATATAAGTCGGCAACATATATGACAAAACACAATATTTTTTAAAGTGTTTTCTTGCCTACACGAGCGCTATGATGCAAAATACTGCCAATTAAATTAGCTATGGCCTATACCAATTTTCGGGTGACGTCCATGCATGTTCACAAAAACGTCACTTAATTGCTAAGCTCACTATTATTGCTGCTTGAACAACCTTTTCACTAACAAAATCATGAAGTTTTGCTGAATCGCACGTCCTGTCCATTATTCCAATACATCAAAATCATCTCGTATTATCAAGGTGGTTTATGTTGCCTTCTTCCCAAGCTTACACGTTTCCTTAATTGTTCCCTATAAACCTTTTGTCTTCATTCCCTTTGGAGTTTAGTTCCCATGCAAAATATGCGGTGTTCCCTTGTTCACTAGCTAGAAACCCTGAATAACATTTTCACATTTTTAATAATACAACATGACCTTTTTGAACTTAAAATAACACGGAACTGAATTCGAACAATTTCAAATAAACACGGAACTCGATTTGGACAATATACTTTTAAACTGCGTCATGCATTTGCGTCAACAACGACGGCTTTTGAGGCCTTTCAGCACAAATATTTCCCTTAAAAGTCAACACAGGCTGTCACAGGCAAACTAATTTGTTATCCTTAAGCCATCCGAAAGTGAAAGTTACGAATTACGGAGGAAAGTATTCAGAATCTGCCAATAAACGACATAATGAATGCTAAAGTGTTCTTTACTGTGTTTTTCATCTCGTTATCTGGCAAGGCACATCCGTTTTGTGGTAAGCTGTATACGTCGGTATTTTCAATTTGGTGGATTGTTTATCAAATACTGTATAAAATCTTCAATAATTCATGAAAAATATTGCCCCAATAATATCTGTGAAGAGGATCATCCGTTCGACAGATCATACACACCTTACACAAGACAAACCATCCAAATGTAGATAAAGTAGCAACTGGAATATTTTCATTTTGTCTAAACATGATCCTGGTAATTAATACATGATTCTTCATGAATTATTAATGAGTTTCACAAATATTTTTAAAAACTCATTAAAATAATTGATGAGGAAAAGACATAGTAAATCACAGTGTGTCTGTGGTTTTATATGTGATAAAAAATCATATTCATTTACATAAACTTTAGCTTTCATTTTTTCGCCTTAGACAACGTTGATTTTTTAACATTACTTCGCCAATGAACTCATAAGATGGGTCGATTTTTAAGTACTATTTAGAACACGAGGCACGAGCTGTCGCCTTGTCACTCGTGTTGAATATATATATGGTAAAGCACTCCTAATCGTGTTTTAAATAATACAAAATCACACAAGACGGTAGACCAACTGGTATACAGTTTTCGAGTAGACAAACCGTCACGTATATAATTAGATATAATTTGTCAGTCTTGAGAGACCATCCGCCGTTCATTGCCATATTTACATATACGACGAATGGTATAAAAACTGATATAAGTGGACAATATAGTTTATATTTAACTTAATATTTTTTTAGGACTAAATTCAAGCGAAGGTTTCCATGCCGACCTAACTCGGGCAGTTGTCCGTTCATCCGACTGGATGAAGCAATTCTACAAGGACAACACTACTACAAAACTACGGCCGTATCGGGCTGGCTCGATGTTTGCGACTCTCAGAATTGCTGGCCACTATCCTAGGACACTGCTGACCGACTTCAAGGACTCTGAGGGCAATTCCATCAACAAAACTCTAAAAAACAAACTTAACACCGTGCAAAATCTATCAAGCATCCCTACTCCTCAGCTGGGCCTCATTATTCAAGGAGTGATATCAATTTGTAAGGATCCTAAAGACTTTCACGGATATAACCTAATAAAACCTCTTTTGGCCGGCTTCCTTAAATTCAAGACGTATTCAAGTTTCAACAATTATTTCGGCTATAGTTTGGCTGTAATTGCCCTCTGCAATGCAGGCAATAAGGTACCGGATTTTGTAATCGAAGAATTGGTTGAAGAGGCAAACAGAAACGTCAGTACTTATCATTCGGTTGATACTAACGCATTGATTTCGACCGCTCTGTCTTGTGTGTCGACCTCAAATAGATCCCTACAACGCAAGGTGGAACGGGCCGTAGGAAAATTTGTTCAAACCTTGATCTCAAAGCAAAAGACAACAACTGGAGCGTTTGGAAATAATCAGTATTCAACAGCACTAGCTGTCGAGGTAAATATATACCGAGGAAAAACTAAGAACCAGTAACCATATATATTTCCCAAAAGTTGGGCAAACCAGAAAACATTGTTTTCTAGCCATTTTATATACAAAGAAAGCTGGGCAACAGGTAACATTGTTTCCTAGACATGAGTTTTTCAGACCAAATATTGTTTCCCAGCCACATTTCCTAAAGGTGGCAAACCAAGAAATATCGTTTCCTAGCCATGTTTCACAGAGATGCGAAAACATGAGACTTGTTGTTTCCTAGCCATGTTTTCCGAAGGTGGAGAAACCAGAAAACATCGTTTCTGCGACAATAATAACACTTGCATGGGAATCGGCAAAAAAAGTCCTGAAATTGTTGGCAAACTAAAGTTTAGAGAACAAAATTTAAAAATTTCCGAGAATTATTTAAAAATTTTCCGAGAATTTTCTGGTCATTGACCTATCGAGGATTAGTAGCGAGTATTGCCCAATCCTGCTCGGATCAGACAACAACTTTTCCGTTGTTCTCTGCAGTGTCAGAATAAATATAAAACTAGTTTTGTTGGAAAGCCGACCTAACATGTTGCTAAGGGATTGAAGTTGTTAAAAGAACGATTTCTTTCTTATTCCAGGCCTTGCAAGCAGCTCGTATCCGCACAGACAGTTAACTTTGTGACAAAGCAATGAGAAATATTCTCACATATCAAGATGAAGGGTCTTTTGGTTCAATTCTGGCAAATATTCAAATCACTCCTGCCCTCCTGGGAGAATCATTAATCAGTTTGAAAAGATACGCTTGTCCGCCCAAAGGTTAGAAAGGTTGTTCTAACAAAGTTGTAGTCCTTCTGATTTTTCAAAATTAATCCAATCCTTATTTCTACAATTACAAAGAAAACAGTCTACTCATTTGAATAATTTGAGTATAGACAGATTCAGGTCCTTTGCTGTTCTTAATAACCAATGACAATGCGGTGCATTAATTCACACAGAACTGATAGAGCTAGCCAGTATCTATTAAAGCTGGATTAATCCATTTAACTTGTTTGTTTATTTTATTTGTATTATTAGTGCCGTCACCCACCACACCTCTTCTTCAGGTAAGAACTTACTTTGCTTTTTGTATAGTTCAAAATTCAACCGTGTGAAACGATGTTTCGGAAACATTCCTAATCATGTTTCCTGATTGTAGACAAACCAAGAAACATTTTTCCTAACCATGTTTCCAAAAGGTATAGGCAAAGCAGGAAACATTGTTTCCTAGCCATGTTTTTCAAAGGTATAGGCGAACCAAGAAACATTGTTTCCAAGCCATGTTTCCCAAAGGAATGCAAACCAAGAAACAGTGTTTCGTAGCCATGTCTTCCAAGGTAGGCAAACCAGAAAACATTTTTACGGAAACATTGTTTCCTAAACAAGTAAGTTTGCTAGAACATGAAAATTTCGTTCCACAATAATGTTCCTACTTTTTTTATGTAGCCGAGTAGCAATAGTCTTGTGCTTGTGCCAAGTCCAAAATGGTTTTGGCTGTTGTTCCTTCTGGTACGCTGACGGACACAGGAGATTCTGTTCTTTTCATGTTGGGCTCATTGAAAACGAACTGCACACGGACTGGAAAAAGACTTATTTTATAAATAGAAAGTCGTCCTAGGCATGCTGCCAATTCGGCCATTCCGTGACAAGTATATTTGTGGTGTTGCGAAGGATTCGTCGAACAAGTACTATTAAATGATTTACATTAAAGGAAAGTCTTCCTGGTGACCGTATTACATTTAAATATACGAAAAGGTGACTTTTAAATAGTTAAAGTACAATTATAAACAAGTAATTCACATGCAGTAATAGTAGTAAAGCGATGCAACTGGGACAAAATTAATAACAAGATGTAATAACTGAGTTGGGATTAATTTCAAATACAAAAAGTTGATATTTTAATGATTACTGTTATGACTGTTTACATTATTATATTGACTGCTATAGATCATATGGGCAATCACTTCAAGTTTATGTAACAGTATTAAATTAATCCAAATGTAATAATCCTAATAAAATGTAAATCAATGTTACTGGATTAAGAAATTATTGGGGGGAGCCCCAGCCCCCCCCCCCCCCCCCCCCCCGCTTCCGACGGCCTTGGTAATTAAAGTCAAATTAAATGTCCATACATGCATGTAATGTATGGTATTTTTTGCAACAGTCATTTATGGTCTTGAAATATTATTTCGTCCTTTGTGGTAGCCTTCATATAACTGGAAACATTTGTTGCAAAAAACGTCTGAAAATCTTGAAATTTTCTTAAATATTTCACTATTCACAATTTTCTGTCTTGGAAGCCAACATCCTCAACACATTTGGAGTGTTTTTTCACAAACTACATGTGTTTCTTTTTTGAACGTCTGTGTTTCTCGTCAGCCAGTCAACCTATTTTTTCCCTTCTTTTAATACTTTAGGCTGAGTGCGGGCTGATGAGAAACATTCCCCCAACGGCTCTGAAGCTCCAACATCTTTTCTTGTTTACCGTGATGGACGTTACCGTCTGATCGACAGTCCGACACTTCCTTAACTGTTGTCACCCGAACCATAAAATATATTATACAATACCAAAATGCCTTACTGAAACTCGCTTGAGTGATCGCGGATGATTTGAATTTAAAATCTTGAATAGAAACTTACACCCACTTTACTAGACCTTTCTCTATATTTACTCTTATCGAGTTTCGTCACGTCACTATTTATCAGTAGAGAGTTTAATCGACTTCCGATATCAATACCGATACTAACAACATGTCATGCGCATGCTCTCTGCTCGCAAGAAGCACGAGGACAAGTGTATTGGAAGTCACCACTACCGAAGTCGGCCTTGTATTGGAAGTCGGGGGAATTGTAAGATAAACTCATATAAATCGGATATTTCATAATTTTTACGATAAACATGTAAACTATTTGTTTATTAGCATCGCCCGAGTCATGTTTTGGTCGGAATTTTAGCTCAGCTGCCGTTTAGTATACCGCACATTTTCGGTGATGATTAATTAATGTGTTCTATGCTTTATCTGTCGTGATAACTTAACGCTTTAAAATTCCCGGTACCAAAATGAGAACGGAAGTGAAAACAGTGATATCGGTATTGGTATTGGAAGTCGAACTTTATAGGCCTAAACTCTCTAATGACCTTCACTGGACTTCTCAGAAGCAAACAACATAGGGAACTCACTAAAATATCAACGCTACAAGAACATCTGGATTAATCCTCACCAAATCTAGGATTTGCCCAGGCAGAGAATATTTACCTTTTCGGCTTTTCCATACTATATCTATATCCATAGTATCGAAATTGCAATTAATATGAAAACTGGATTTCCATAGCATTTTCAACTAAGATCCATACTATTTCTATAGTATGGATTTTTAAAAAATTCAGTAAAATTTCCTTAAACGTGGGGCAGGCCTGTTTGTTGGTAATTCATGGCCTATAGGTCTTGAAAAAATATCCTTAAATTTCCTCAATTTAAGGACATATAAATCACTGCCACGTACTGGGGCTGGGCTTAAACGAAAAGGTTAAAAGGATTGAACTGTTGTCGAGAAGATCTCGTAGTTCAAAAAGATTATTATTGCTGCTTGAACAACCTTTCGTTCACAATTATACTACAATTTATCACTAGAAAAATAATGTATAGTCTTGCTGAATCGTACACCGTAAATCAAAACCGTCAAATTAAAATCATCCCGCCTCTGCAAAGCGCGATCATGTAAACGGACCCTAAAATCTTAATAAGCCTTCTTGGCCTCGTTCTGGTTATAAAATTCTGTTCAATATCAATCTAACAAATGAGGCCAAGCTAGGCTTAAAGCTTATTAAGATGCACATATATAAGACATATAAAAGAATATTTAAACCCGTCTGTAATTATCAGGGTGGTTTATGTTTCTTTGTTCGGAATTGTTCCCCAAGGCTATTATGTTTCCTTGTTATCTACAGGGTGTCCCAAAAAAACCGAAAACTATTGAAATCACTTATTGTTAAATTTGAATGCCCTACAAAACAGCTGGACGTAATAATGCGTAAAATATTGACAAGGTGCATGTATTAGAATTTAGTTTGGAATATCTCCTGGTAAAGTGTGCGATTTTCTGCTCCTGGGAATAAAAACAGCTTCTTAAACAGTTTCTTTATGCATAAAATTTACTTATGTAAATCATTTATGCACTCGTGGGAACCAACAGAGCGCTATAAGGCATTCAAATTCTAACAATTAAATTGTTATTAAACAGGTCATTTCAATAGTTTTCGTTTTTTTGGGACACCCTGTATAAACCTTTTGGCTTCAGTATGCAAAATATTACCGAAATCAGTAGAGTGTCTTTTCCGGAAGTTGAAAAGACAGTCAGAAGCCAGTAGAAACGTTCATGTTTTATGACGTCACGGTGAAGGAATGCAGCGAAGAACTTGTATGTTATTTAAAATAACATACAAGTTCTACGCTGCATTCCTTCACCGTGACGTCATAAAACATGAACGTTTCACAATTTCGCGCGAGCTTGAAGTCTTGAACGGATAAGCGGATCAAGCGATGGTGAATTTTGATTCGCTAG